TACATGTCAGCAAGCTGCTGGGATGATTTTTGTTTGTTTGGGGGCGGGTTGGTTTGTCTGATTTGAGAGGACGTTTATGGAAGCTGGGGCAGTGAAACAAGGGGGGCTTAGGAGAGAAGCAGCAGCAGGAGAGCCTCGGCCGGGCTGCTCTGGCTCTCTGGGGAGTCAGGGAAAAGGGGCCTGGAGACAGGTTCAGGGGTCGCCTGGTTGCAAGTCTCCTGGGGTCCCTTGGAGTTTCGGAGGTGCCCGCTGAGCGGGAAGGAAGGCGTGGCTGCTCCGTGCTGGAGTCTCACCCAGACCTGAGCTGTGTGTGCAGGTGGGCAGCAGTGCTCATTTTGATTGAGAGTAAGCTGAGAGCTGTCATGAGGCTTTGAAGTGATGCAGCAATCCAGTCATTTCATGTTTGTTTTACATAATAAATATTGATTCTATGGCCTTTGAGGTTTTTGCCTTGTTCAGTTGACCGGGCTGTATTTTGATCTGAGTGGTTGCCCTGTCATCTGTGACGGGTGGGAATGCCCATCTAGAGAACATGGAAAACGATGGAAAAGCACACAGCTCAGCCACCTGCATGCAGAGGGCTGGATGGTAAATATTCTAGGCTTTGCAGGTCCTGGGGTCTCTGCTGCAGCCACAGCTCCGTGCAGGGAGCAGCCACAGCCATAGGGAAACAGGGTCCTCAGATGGAGCAAGACCTTCTACCTGCTCTCGCGGCCCCCCGCTCGGGCCCACAGGTAGACGCCAGAGATCCCTCTGAGCCCGGAGACCGTGGGGAATGACAAGCGTGTGCGGCTGCTTGAACTCCTGTCCTTGACATGCCAAGAGGCCTGGATGTGCCTCAATTGCAGATTCTCCGTGACTTGCAGTGGGTGACATCTGATGAAGCCATTATAAGTTGAAAATATAAGTGGAAGTTGGTTTGGCACCTAACCTGCTGAACATCCCCGCTTCGTGCGGCGGAGCTTAAACGCGCTCAGCACTCACATTAGCCTGCTCTTGGGCACAGCCACCCGCTGCCGCTGCCCAGCCGGAGATAGTGCACGCCGCACCTCACTGGCCCGGGAAAAGGCCAAAGTTCCAAGTACACTTTCTGCTCAAGTTGTGTCACTTTTGTGCCGTCAAAAAGTCAAAAGACCTAAAGTTGAACCCTCAAAGTTGGGAACAGTCAGTACCATTAAAGCACTTGGTGGGGGGAGATGTGATGATATAAAACCAGATCGATTTCTGAGCATGAGTGGATTTTGTACTTTTAAAGAAGTTGAAATATGGGTCTTTTGTGACAGTTAAACACTATTGTTTTAAATAGGAATTTTATGGAGAAAATATAAAAGAATCTCCTGATTATGAAAGGATCATCAATCTTCGTCACTTTAAGAGGCTCCTGAGTTTGCTCGAGGGACAGAAGATCGCTTTTGGTGGGGAGACGGATGAGGCCACGCGCTACATCGGTAAGGGGAGCCCAGCCCCTTCCTCACGGGAGAGGGCAGCTGGACAGTGTTTACTGACACTAAGCAAACAGATATTTAGTGTAAAATAAGCTTAAATGCTGCTTCGGGTAAGCTGTACAGATGATCACACACTCACACTCACGTTTAACTATACCACGTGTGTTGCACTAGCTTTTCTGTATTGACGCATATTTTTCTTCCTAACTACCCCGAGAAGCAGAACTCTGTAATTACTTCCAGTTTACGCCTGGAAAAACGGCTCAGAGAAATAGCTGAGCCATCATTCCACAACTAGCCACTGGCTACGCTTTCACAGAAATTATTTTTTGATCTGTCATGCTTGACATTATTTGTTCACTTTCTGTGGCTTTTATTTTCTGCCATAAATCTGTATTAGTTTTGAATTTTAAGCACCTTTTCCAAAGTAACATATAACAGAGGAATGACACATTGAGTTGGCAAAAAAGCTGCCCAGACCAGCTTTTCTGCTCTTATCAGGTAGGATGCTGCGCATTACAAAACCCACTTAAAACTCACAGAGCTCAACCCATCAGGAAGACTGTGTTCTCGAATAAGGAGCAGCTGAGTGCCGCCTGTGAATTCAGTGGCTCAGTGACACCTCGGGAAGCCCCGTGGTTGGTCTTTCTGTCCTCCATCCTCAGCGTGTTGACTTGCTCGGCTAATCAGTGGCCAGGGGGAAGGTCATTCATGATCAGCTCAGACTAGTCAGGAGCTTTCCTCTGACCTGGAGTCAGGGTCACCTGATCTGAGCTCATGGCTGTGCGAGGAGGGTCTGACCCGGGGAAGCACGGATGCGGGTGCACATGGACACCCCTGAGTGCTGGCAGAACCTGTCAGAGACGAGGAGTAAGGGAGGCGCACAGTCGCTGCTGTCGGGTGCTTCCTTCGTAGTTGACCGTCCAGCGTGTGACAGGTCCCTGGGGTGTGCTGCTGCGCCAGCAGGCTGGGGTGCTCGCCAGCTCCTTCCGCGCCCACAGTGCCTCCCTGGACCCCTGCCCGCAGTGGATGGAGCACTGAGCTGAGGGCGAGGGAATCTTGGCCATTTAAGTATGTTTTCTTAACGCGTAACCGAATGGAATGCAGGTCAATGAGACTCTGCAGGAAAAACACTTGTAAGAAGTGTTGATGTGACCCAGAGGGGCTGTCTGTGCTCCCAGAGCTGTGCTCACAGCCTCCTGTTAGGCGTGTGCTGTGGCCAGGGTTAAACATGAGCAGGATGCATCCAGGCACAGCTCTTTCTCTTGGTTTGCATGGTGACCCCGAGTCAGGTGCTTGCAGACATTCAGTTAGCACAGGCTCGTCCCACACTCCGGGCTTCCCCGGGCGGGTCCTTGGGGGAGGGAAGGGATGAGAGGAGGCCTGCTGAGACGGTGGGCGGGCGGTTTGCATCTCTGTCTCCTGTAGCATTTTCATTTGCTTGTTTTGTTTTCAGCCCCAACAATACTTACTGACGTTGATCCTGAAACCAAGGTGATGCAAGAAGAAATTTTTGGACCAATTCTTCCAATAGTGCCTGTGAAGAATGCAGATGAAGCCATAAAGTTCATCAATGACCGCGAAAAGCCATTGGCTTTCTATGTGTTTTCTCATAACAACAAGGTAAACGTTACAGAGCGCAGCACACTCGCAGCCACTGTTGTAAGTCCGGGTCCCTTTTGGCAGCAGAGCCAGTGGTGTACTTTGTGTGATACTAGGACCCACCACCTCTTCTCGGGAAGCGTGGGGCTGTGGTGACTGCCTACCCCCTGGGGGTAGATCCGGGGTGAGTGTCCGACGCCTCCCCTGTAATTGGGAGCCTCACGGGCCAGCATTAGAAGCTTTTCTGTGCCTCCGCTCAGGGCTGGGGGGCAGCAGTCTCTGGCGCTGCCGGGAGGTGGTGCCATGTCTTCAGCTCCTCCTTGCTGAGCTGGCGAGAGCTGTCCACCTCGCTTGCCGTTGGGGGGAGCGTCTGGCAGGTGAGCACTGCACGTGTGACCCCAGCCTGGGCAGCTGCACCCCTTTTCTGAGTGGCTTGCCCACGTGCATTCCAAGGGGACTGGCTGCTGCTGAGGGGCAGTGGCCTCGAGGTGGGCGCGTGGGGTCCAGAGGCTGATGGAGCCGGTGGTCGAGGTCTGAGGCGCTCCCCGGCGCAGCG